CGGCGTCCCCGGCGCATCGCCCGGGGGACCCCGGCCCGCTGCGCCCGCGCGGGCTCTGCGGCGTGTGCCCCGTCTCTCTGTCCTGGGCTAGGTGATTTCTGTTTATCAGCGCCTTTGCAGTGCTTCTCCTGTCGAGTTGTCTGTAACTTACTCCTTTATCGCTTTCCAGTCAGACTCGTTAGAGTTATCTCAGCTCGCGTGTGTCGCCCGTGCTGTGTTTGGAGTGGTGGTGATTCTCGTGAAAATGACGTGGAGCCTGCTGCAGGCTGCCCGCTGCGTGTCTCGGGGTCCTTGCTGCAGTGGGAGGTCCTGGGTGGCGTGGATCACATCATCTCCTAAGTCTGTGTTCTTCTCGAAGATAATCTTGTGAAGGACGCGTGTTGCACTCTAGCTCACACTGACTTTGGAATTACAGTTGCAGCGAAGCCTTAAGCATCTCCTTAAGCATGATCCCGGAACCTTCCAGTTTAGAGACCCTCTCCTCCCCCCAGTCTCCAGGCCCTTTTAGGAAGCTGCATTCAGTTAATTATCTCACCAGCAAATACGGTTTTCATCTTGCACATCTGATGAGTTAAGTCTGGAGGGAGTGGCTGGATACAAAAACAGGTTCTGCTACTTCTGGCTGAGATGACATAACTCTTCACTACAGTTTTGGAAGTCTTTTCCTTTCACAGACTTCCGCACCGCCTGCCAGCGGTGCTAGCTTTATAGATGTTTTACTGTATCTGTGTATGGATCCAGCTTCCTCTATTAGACAGCTTCTCAGGGCCAAGGACCAGTTCTTAGGTCTTTGTATCGCCAATACCCCACACTTAATCAATGCTTAATAAATATGTGTATGTGAAAGAAGTTAAATATACTTACTTTTTGCTTAAGGTATAGACTCTAACTGGGATAGATCACATCTGTCCCAGTAGAAGTACTAAGTTGAAATGCTAAGGGAAAAAAACCTAAGTACACAGTATAGTAGCAACCGTATCATCTATGTAATTTTTCCCAGAGTTCGCTAGGGTGATTCGCAGGGTCGCTTCTGCAGCCTTCTCACACCTCATACTGCTCTAAGCACACCTCGGTCTTGGTACAACTCATGCACATTATTAAGGAGATGCCAGTTTAAAAGACTGATGCCAGCCATGTGAGGTGACATAAACCCATGATCTGCACAGTGCCTGTCTTCAGTAGATACATGTGCATACATCTTTTAATAATTTCCTCGTGGCCGCAGACATTCTCTTTTATAATCACTTTTTTGCAAATACATGAACTTAGAAGTGTTTTACCACATTTGTTACATTCAGGACTGTTGTCCTTTTTTCTCCTTCAAATTTCTTGTTACCTGTGTCCCACTGACTTGATTCACCTGAATAATTGTAGCTGCTTATGTTCTTTTAATAAATTAACCAATGTATAGAAGGAATTAATTATTAGAATGACTTTCTTAAGAGAAAAAATGGTTACCTTTGCAAAAACTTGGTGGCAGTAAGGAAGGTTCCTGATGCAGCATTTCAAGCAGAATCTCTGGGTAAAGTACTTCTTCCAGTGTGACTGCAGAGTGACTAAAAGAAAACATTGTAGGCACAGCAAAGAAGCTAGATGTATGTGTATTAAAATGTAAGTGTGGCTTTAATCATTTGAAATTATAAATCACTATGTATTCCCCAGAACTAGATAGAAATTATTCTTTAGTTGCTGTGTAAATCTTTGAGCGAGGGTTTGTTAATTAAAGTGCACTGGTGTTATGTCAGAAATGTGCCTCTGTTGGGTGTCAGGACATCTCCATTGTCTTGCCTTTGATTTCAGCTAAGTCATTTAACTTCTGTGGACATAATCTCTAAAATTCTTTGAGTTTTTAGCTTTTTTCCCCTCTTCTGTCCCAGTAAAATGCAAAGGAAATTTACATGGGACTATCCTTGCGGTCAGCAGACTATTTCCTTTTTTTTTTTTTTCCTACTGGGGATTAAACCCAGAACTGTTTGTGTGCCAGGCAAGTGCTTTGCTAGGGGCAGGCATCTCACTCATTTGTTTTGTTTTGTTTTTGAGACAGGGTCTCATGAAGTTGACCAAACCTCTTGTACTTACGATCTTCCTGCCTCAGCCTCCCAGGTAGCAGGGATTATGGGTTTATGTCACCTCACATGGCTGGCATCAGTCTTTTAAATTGGCATCTCCTTAATAAAAAAAAAAAAAGACTAGTTATAACAATGACAGGAAGTGACCTGAAAGTGAAATATGAAAAAGCGCTGCTCAGGTATTTGTTGATTTTTTTTTCCCCCCACGTAATCTGCATCCCATGTAATTCTGCTCTGTTAAGGGAGGTGGGTAAGAATAACCACGGGAATTTCCAGGCAGGAGCCTTGTGTTAACTTGAGCACTTAGAAATACAGTTGAAACCTAAGTCTGAGGCCTGAGCCCTTTGGGGATCCTCCCTGGAAAGTGTAGGTAAATCGATGATCGCTCTGCTGAGTCTATACCTGAGCTGGGGTGAACTCGAGCGGCTTTCCTTCGTGTGTGCACTGTTGCAGTTGTGGCCACAAGGAAAAGCTTGTTACTATCGTGCAGCCTCTTGAGTATATTGAAGCTGTAGTATTGTTACATATTTGATGAAGGAAGTGCTCAATCAAAACCAATGCCAAGATTCTGAAGAAGTAGAAGCGTGACTGTTACCACCCCCAGGCTCCTCCTCTCCTGGAAACCTGCCAGAAAGCATTACTGCGTGCCGAGTGCGTGTTGATTAATCTAGGTCCAAGCAGTTCGGCTTTTAGGGAGAACGTAAGGAAAGTCTACTCTTATCTGTGATTTTGCTTTCTGTATTTTGAATTACTGCTGAACGGTCAGCTGTGGTTTCAAAGTAATGGAAATTCCCTATTTTGAGAAAGAAATACAGAGACTACATCTGTAAAGCTTTTATTGTAATTTTCCTGTTTTATTGTTAATCTCATGTCTAATTTATAAATTAAACTTAGGTATTTGTGTATATAAAAACAGTATGTGCAGGGTTCATTACTGTTTGCAATTTCAGGCGTCCAGTGGGGGTCTCGGGACGTATTCCCCACAGATAAGGTCAGTGCAGAGATGAAGGTATTCTGGTGACCAGTGTACTTTTATTTTTGTTGTTCTGTGTTGCTGTGAATGAAACCTAGCGTGCTGCATGAGTTGAACCAGTGCGGTGCCGCTGCTATCCAGCACCGCCGTGTCAAGTTCCCAGCTGGGTCGTGGCGCCTTGGTGGGTGGTGTAAGGGAGCAGGGGGTCTGTGCGGCTGGGCGAGCTCCTTGGTTGTCCCCAGCAGATCCGCAGCTTTCCCTCTGGCCACGGGCTGAGGCGGTGTGGGAGAGCAGCTCGGTCCTCACAGGCCTGTCACTCGTTTTCAGTCGGGGCTAGCGTGAAGAGATGGGAGAGGCGATGGGCTGGGGACAGTTTCTAGGCGATAATTTCAGTGTAGTCGCTACCCTCACGCGAAGCAGTCTCCGGAGGGGTGGCTGTCTCAGCTTTCTTCCTGCTTTAATGTTCTATGATTCTGTGAGTTTGTGAGTGCTGTTCAGTGTTGCACAGTTTGCGAGGACATTTGGCAGCACCTCAGGCCAATTTTATCTTCCATTCCTTACCCATCCAGTCAATTCTTTCACCAGCTTAGATTTTCTTCTCCAGTAAGAACACAAATGTTACTTCTGAGTGACTTCCTGTTCTGTAATATGTGACAGAAATTTCACTGTGTAATGTTTCTGTTTTGTGTCTTCTTTGCAGGACTTTGTATCTTTGCTAACGTCAGTGATGTGAAAAGACCTGACATGGGTAAGACTAATACAAGGTAGTCATTCAGTGCTTTTAGTAACTCACATTAAGGAAAACAGGTTTCCCTGACATTTTCAGTATTTTTATCTTGGTGTGTAATAATTTTAGAAACAAACTTAATCTTTATGTTTTTTGAGACAGGGAGCTCTCCATGTAGTTCAGACTGACCTTGTACTCACTGTGTAGTCCAAGCTGGCCTCGAACTCATGTCAGTCCCCCTGCCTCGGCCTCCCGAGTGCTGGGATTACAGGTGTGCCCCACTAAGTCTGGCCACTCTTAATCTTAACGTAGCAGATGTAAATTTCCTTTGGTCAAGTAGAACATTGTTTACAGAATTGCTTAGGGGCATTTTCTCATTCATTGTATGGAAAAGGCCAAATATACACTGGCAGACATTTATTATGTTTACTGTTACCTGTACTTAAAATACATCAATCCATTTCATTATTTTGGTCACCTTGCGAGGATGCATAGCACCTACGAAGTAAGTACTGTCATTGTCCCTGTTACATCGCCAAGGAAAGTGAGACACAGAAGAAACCTGCTTGGGAGCTAGGGGTGGTGGCACACATCTGAACTCCTAGCCCTCTGTAATCCCGGCACTTGGGAGGCTGGAGCACACAGGGAACCTCTGTCTCAAAAAAGCAAAAAACCCTTAAGGTCACATGTATTGTACCTGGCAGAGCCTAGATTTGAATCACTCTGGTTGCAGAGTTCCTGTCTTCACTAGTATGTTACACTGCCTTCTGTGTGGTAATTTGAATAAGGTAAATCTTACATTTCATTCCTAGTAACACTGAGAATTCATTATGATTGGAACATTTTCTGCTGTTTTATTCATGGTACTTTGTTAAGGGGATTGATGAAAGATCAGGAGTAGAAGCCAGTTTAGCCATAAATTGAAAAATCTGTGCAGCAAGATCTTATAACACTCCACATACTCCTTTTAAATTCCCATTAACTTTTCTGTGTTTTCTTTTTGCTCTATCTGCCTTTTCCCTCACCCCATCATTTGTTTCCATTTTCTTTCCTTGCTGATATCAGGGTCAGCTTTTGAGATCCTTTCTCATTTATTCTTATTTTAGCTCTTTTATAGTAACAAAGGTCTCAGAAATGTTTCCAAAGTAAGATTCTGCCTGAGTATTACAGTTTTTACAGAAAAATTTCAAGTGGAGTGATTTAAATTACCTTCTTTTGAATCAAAACAAGAAATAAACCAGTGTGAACTGTTTGTTTCTAAGTGGTGAAACTGCCTCCACCCCAGTGTTTGTTTGTTTGTTTTTCTTTTTAAAAACAGAGTTTTGTGTTTTGCCCAGTTTTTATTCCTGTGTAAATTCTGAACTATTTGACAGGTGATTTCAGTTCCAAGTAAGCCAATTTTTGTGTGTGGGCCATTTTTGACAGTGACAGTTTGAGATTTCTTGCCAATGGTCAGCTTAAGGGAAAGGCTTTACATAGAGTTGTTATTTGGGAACCATTTTTATTAGGTGAAAAGACTGGTTCATAGGAAAAGAGTTAAGAATTAAGTGACTTGATCTAATCTAAACTCTTTCTCCCAGATGATATTGCTGATGGGGTGAGGATGGACGCTGGAGAAGTAACTTTAGTGAACCACAACTCCATCTTCAAATCCCACCTCCTGCCGCAGTCAGGGTTGCCAGAGGACCAGCTTTCACTTCCTGACCAGCAGGTTAAGAATCATTTTCTTCCTTTAGTTAATTTGCTCATTGTAGGTTTTTATCTGATGTGGTTTAAATGTTAACACTCAAAAATGTAAGCATATGTGTGAAGTTTTTTGGGGGTGTCAATAATCTTAGTGTATAGAATTCTCCTTGGTATATTAAAGTTAAGACAAAATACTGGTATTTCTGAATAGTGTCTTTTACAAAACTTATTGTTCACCTGAGTATTACAGCTGTCAGTACATTAAACTAGTGTCTTAAAACTACTGAGCATAATTTGGGGGGGTGTAAATGCACAGCCGTTGTAAGATGTGTCTGTGTGAGGAAGTTCTAGGTTAAAATGTGAGGTGCGTTATTAATAAAGCAGTCTTTCTTAATGGGAAGCCGTTAGCACATGGATAAAATAGTTCTTCGCTGTGTGAACGTGTGCTAAGCGTAGTAGGACAGACACTGAATACCTGTAGCATCCACCCTACCATAATTGTTTAGATGATTGAGTGTGTGTTTAAATATTTCAGATTTGTACTTGGAGTGCAACACCACCCCTGTGTAAGATCTAAAGTTTTCAAACAATCAAAGCCAAGTTGGTTTTCTCAGTCTCTCTGTAGTCCATGTTATAAGTGGCTTTCGGAGAGAATATACTAAGAGATATTTACCTTCCAGTGAAGATCCTCTGAATAAAGTTATGTAGCGGAGTTTTACCCATTTTCCTCCTGGAACCTGAAATATTTCATGAAGTGTATTTTCCTCATGAGTATGTAGTTTATATATGTTATATAGAAATATGCTGTAATTATATTGAATTACAGAACATGACCTGTTCAATACATTTTTCTTAATATAAATTTTTATTCCTTTTTATTGTCAAAAATATGATTTAAGAAGAATCTTCTTCTCCATTTAGATTTTACCTTCCAGGCCAGGAACTTTGGATCGATCTTTTACATGTTCCACAAGAAGTGCAGCTTGTTGTCCAAGTTTCTACTCAGGTATGAGGCTTCACTTGTCATCAAGGCACCTTCGGATTGCTCCCTAGTAAATTATCTTCGCATACTGTCTTTAACATTAAAAACATTGTAAGAACAGAGTGGCATTTTCTCCACTAAAGCATCAATTTAATAGGCTTTTCATGTGTGTATATGTCATTGCTGTAATACTTTATGGATCTAGTCTCAACCAAATATTAACTTTTTAGTGGAAGTTTTTTAGAAATTATTTTCCTGTTTGTCTGTCATGCCATTGCAGAAAACAATACAGCTTTGTTTTTGTTTGGTGTTTCCATTTTTAGGATACGTGTATGTGGTATAAAAGGTATTTGTTTTGTGTTGATTTAAACCACAGAGCTAGTTTACTCTGCTCGAAGCAGTGAAACCTGAAGATTTGTTTCTACCCGAGCTTGTCCCTCCCTCAGGGCAGCAAGCGTTCACTGTGTTTCTATCTAGCACCTGCCACAGCCATATGCTTGCATGTTCAAGGGCTTGCCGGTTCGGCTCGTGACCCATGACAGACCCACCGTTCTCTAGGCTGGTCCTGTCCCTGGTTTAGACGTTCTGCTGGCTTGGGAAACTGAGAATTTCGGTTCAGCATTTAGGCACCGTGACTTAGGAGGAGTACAGTGGTCTTTCCAGGTCTTTTCCCTTATTTCATTTTACCATAAATAAGGGAATACTACAAATGGCATTGAGCCTGAGGTTTTTATAAGGATAAATTGAGATGATAAATGTGAAATGCAAATAATAATTATTGTTATTTGGCTTCCTCAGGATTCTTTGTCAGCAAGATGAGATTTCCTCCCCTAGAAAGATGTTAGTGTGATACTCTTAGAGATTTGTATTTGAGTGTACAGTAGGTGGACGGTACTTTACGTACCCTGGGTTTTGTCTCTTGGGATGGACAGTGGCCTCCAAATAGTATATGTATAATTTTTATTAAAAAGTCAAGTAACTCAGAAAGTAACTCTGCTGTCGTTATTATCGAAAAGGCCTTTGTGATGCACAGAGAGCCTGCAGTCTCATTTGATAGCTTATTATTAATCCTAGGGAAGAGATAATTGAGTTGTTAACAAAATCAGATTGTTTTTATTTCCATTTGAATTCAGGCTGCATTTGCTTATAATTTCACATACTGACTTGCCATTATAATCTTTGCTTTAGATTGAAGATAATTGCTTAATAATAAACCATTGTATAGAAAGTTGTACTCAGAGTACCCTCACTACAACTCAGTTTTTTTTTTTCCATGTAAACTGATACAACCGCTATGAAAATCAGTGTGAAGCTTCCTCAAAAAGTTAACTGAGCCTTGACCAAGCTATTCTCCGTAGAGGAATAGCTTCTGATTTTTATCTATGTGTACATTTATGCTACACATCTATAATTTCACCCACAAAGTCTTTCTTTTATAGTTTCAGTTTTCTGTCGGTTCAGATGTTCTTCCTCCTACTTTCCCCTCTAGTCTGTGGAACTGATGTGCACGTCCACAGTATTGCAGTTTGTGTCCAATTCCAAACCGAGCTCTGAAAACCAGAATGTTTTTGTTGACAGCCGAATCTGACTTGGTTTGACCTGAAACTTGTTTCTTGGCAAAACCTACATGAACTGACAGGAAGCTGTTTATATTTTGTCTTTATTTATCTTTGTAAATATGAATATTTATGTGTGTTGCCGCATATATAGCAGTATGTTTGCTTATAGGGCACTCCTATGGCTTATAGTTGAAGTGTTATATACTATATCAGATTATCTTCCCAAATACTGCAAAAGTATGAATTCAGAAGTAGAACTGGACCCCAGGGGTTTATGATTGGGGATGATGGGCCTGTGCCTTCATTTGCTTCATTACTTTTCCCGCGGTTTAGGTCCACTTCACCCTTGCTGTTTTGAGCTGTTATTAATAGCATTATTTAAAGGGATTTATAAAAATACCTTCCTTTTAAATTACAGTAGACCCTTGATATTTAGGATATGATCGAGACTACCTCAGACCTTCATGTTCTTGACTGTGGCAATATTTGACTAGATTCTGGGTCAGTTACATGATGGATGAGAGTTAGTTTTTCTGTAATTATTTTTTTTTTTGCCACAAGTTGATCCCTGTATCAAAAACACTGAAGTGTATCTCTCACTTGAACTTAGGAAATTTTAAGAAAAAAAAACTTTGTAACAGTTATTGTATGCCTGACAATGACTAGAGAAAAACACGACAAAACCATGCTGAAACGGGAGTGCTGTGTTATTAAATGTACTCTCAGAAACTGGGTGAGGTGTTGTATCCCTGTGATCGCAGCACTCTGGGAGGCTGAGGCGGGAGAGTCCCAAGTCCCAGCCCACTCTGGGCAGTTTAGCAAGAACCTGTCTCACAGTTAAAAAAGGGGTGGTGTAGCTCCATGCAGAGGCTTTGGTGTCAGTGTCTCAAACTGCTAAGTCAGTCAGGCAGTCAGTCAGTCAGTCAGTCACAGCTTGAAGCCCAGTGTTCAGTTTTTCTTCCAAGATATTTAGTCCGCGTTCAGACAAGCTTATTGCATGTCACAGCCTCTAAGGTTGCCCACTAACAGTCACAGTCTCCAGTCCACGGACGCCGGTCATTTATGTGCTTCTGAAAAACGATAAAGCCGTGGGCTACAGTCTGCTTCTGGCAGCCGGGGTATTTGGTGGTAGCGCGTGCTCGCACGTGAGGCCCTGGGTTTGGTCCCCAGTCTCACATCATAGCACTTTTTTACCATGTGCGATGCTCCTGACAGTGCTGTTGTTGGCAGCACCTGCTTCAGCTCATTGCAGACCCCGCGGAACTTGGTCTGTCCTGCCTCTTCTGTGGAGTCTCTCCTGAGAGCCTTGCCGTGATGGTTGGGCTGCACACGCATCCCTAACGTACCGGCCTCGGTCTTCTGATCCAGCTCATTTGGTGTTTATGTCTTGTCTTGTCTTCCTGTCTCCTTTACGAAGATGAAAATGAGCAGGAAAGCTCAGACCTTAGATTTATTTATTTTACTGGATCAAACCTTTAAAACGTTTGCTTCTCAGTGCACTCAAGAGTAGAATAAACCAGGCCTGGTGGTGCACATCTATAATCACAGACTCTGGGAGGCTGAGGCAGGACGATTGTGAGTTTGAGCCTAGCCTGGGCAGTTTGGAAATTTAACGAGACCCTGTCTCACAATAAAAAAAGGCTGGGGATATAGCTCAGTCAAAAACCCTGGGTGCAGAGAAAAAAAAAAGAGAGAAAGGTAAGAAAATAATTAATTTAAAATACTTTTAAAAGAACAAAATGCAGCACTGTTTCATGTTAATAACAGTAATGGTCAGGCTTCAAGATCGCCATTTTTTTTTTTTTTTCCAGTACCAGGAATCGAACTCACGACTTTGCACTTGCCAGGCAGGTGCTGTGCCACTGAGCTAAATCCCCAGCCCCAAGATCGCCAGTTTTAATAAAAGCAATATGAAAAGAAAATTTAAAAAATTTTGAACCTTAAAAAAAGGTGAAAATGAAATTACTTTTGTTAATGTTTAAAATCATTATCAGTATCTTTTTTTGATGCCAGAAAGTGAACTCAGGACCTTGTGCTTGCCACATAGGTGCTATGCTGCAGAGCTATTCCCAGTTCCATTATCAATATCTTATCTTTAGGAAGGATGTTAGATTAGGTTACCGAACACGTGCCCTGTTACTATGGTAACCATGTCCTAAAGTTAACGGGCACAATTTAATGGTTATAGTCATAGTAAGTGATTGACTATACTCTTATTTTTTAATATAACATTTAATATAAAGTTTATTTTGTTATTTCCATAAAGGCACTGCCTGGCCCTGCAGAAAATTTGTTAAGAAAAGTAGAAAATTAACCAGCATTCTATCACCAGAACATAATAATTAAATTTTCAGTGTATTTCCTCCTAGTTTTGTGTGTGAGCGTGTATATGTAATGATCTTACTTCTGGCCTTTGCAACTCTGATTCTTAGTGATGGCAGAATAGCAGGTTAAATATTCACCCAAAGAAACGAGTGCCTGAGCCTCGGGCCTCCCCGCTGTGCTGGACCCTTCAGCACGAGAAGACTCCTCAGTGGTACTGTCGGGGGGGGGGCCACCGTTCTGGCTGATCAGTCTGTCTGACTTCGTGCTTTTTCCTTTGTATTTTATCTGTTTGTTTTTATTGTTTTTATTTTTTTAAAAAAACCAGGCTCTGTGTGTAGTGCAGGCCACACTTGAATTCACGCAGCCCTCCTGTCTGAGTCTCCTGTAACCCTGGGAGTACAGGCTGAGTCACCTGGGATTATAACCCTGGGTTCCAGCCTTCCTTTTGTATTTTCAAGATGCAGACTCTCAAATGCCATTAAGAAGGAAGGCTCTTGTGGCTTGTCCTTGGTCTCAGATTTCACATCTGTCAGGAGAGTTTGCATCTTTGACTGACTTTTTCCTCAAATAGACATCTTTAGTTAGATAATTTGCTAATCAAATTTTAGCCAAAACATGAGACAGAAAAACTTCTGTTATTGCTTTGCATTTAAAGATAATCATTTTGTGGTTTTTGTAGCCTCCACTGCTTCTTCACACTGAGCTTCTACGTCCCCAGCCCATTTTTATTTATTTATTTTGTTTTGAGACAGGGTCATGCTAAATTGCTAAGTTGCCCAGGCTGAGCTTGAACTTGGAATTCTCCTGGTTCAGCCACCCAAAGTGCTGGAATTACAGGTGCATGCCCCTATGCCTGTGAAGTTTTCTTTGCTGTGACTCAGTTTTAATAGCTTCATGTTTCTGTCATTAATAGTAATAGATGTCAAGCATAAATACTAATTACAAAGGAAAAAAGTTACAGTTCATTTTGAAAGTAAGTGTAACTTTAATTACGAGACTTCAGTTTACAGAGTGGGAAATCAGTAGGTAAAAAACCACCTCTGATTGCCTTTCCCCCCCTTTCACCCCAAATCCTGATTTCCTGATTAACTTAAGAAAACACAAAATTTTACTTTCGAAGCCTGCCTTAACTTTTTGGATAAAATATCAAAAGATACATTAATATCTTAAAAAGCATAAATATGCAGTATTGTACAAAATTCTATGGTAATATGCTTTGAAAGAGGATCTTCAAAATAATGTCAACATTAGACAGAAATTCTGGAAATAGGTAATAATCATTCTTGGTTTTGTTTGTTTTTGAGACAGGGTCTCACTGTGTAGAGCAGACTGGCCTCGGACTTGTGGCAGTTCCCCTGCCTCAGCCTTGTATGTGCTGGGACTACAGGTGTGCTCCACCAAACCCAGCCGTTCTTGTTCTTGTTTCTTTTTTCTTCTTTTCTCTTTTTTTTTTTTTTTTACTTTTTCCTTCTTCCTTTCCTCCTCCCCTCTCTTTTTCCCCCTTCCCATTTAAGCATTTTCTCCCAGTTTCACAATACCTATTGTGCATTTTGGTCCTTATTTATACTTTCACTTTCTCACACCAGAGAAACAGTGCGGTATTTACATGTGTGTGTCGATTCATTTTACTTAGGAGTATGGACTCAGGGTGCATCCATTCACCGAGAAATGTCTCAAGCTTATCCTTCTTTACGGCAGAGTAGTACTCCATTGTATAAAAAAGCCACATCTTTATCTGTTCTCCAGTTGATGGGCATTTGGGCTGTTTCCAAGATTTAGCTGTTACAAACTGCTGCTATAAACATGGGTATGCATATATCACTGTGCTATGATGCTTTTAATTTTGGGGGGAAGATACCAAGAAGAGAAATAGCTGGATCAAATGGAACCTTTCTTCCTAGTTTTTTGAGGAACTTCCACACCGATTTTCACAGTGGTTGCACCAGTTTACACCCCCATCAATAGTGGAATAGGGCTCCTTTTTCCCCATTCTCATTTTTTTACTAAAGCTCCACAGTTCCATAACCTAATGTGTGAAGTTATTTTGCAGGAGTTATTTTAAATTGTCCAGTCCTGCTCAAAGAGGAGGAGGGTATAGAAATTATTCTACATCTCCCAGGTGTAACTAGGATTTTTGTCACTCTACTTTATAGTCCAGAAATCATAAAATTCAAATAACAACAAGCAATCCTCAGTCGGACTGTAGTAGTGTGTGAAGTATCGATATGTCTGATGCTGGAGGCCTTAAGTGACTGCAGATTACCCCTTAGAACAGGTGCGTAGACGGGGTTGTCCCTCCCATCCGCTGGCCAGTATAAGCAGCACTTAGGGTAACTGTGCTCTTCTGAGAGTTCCTGAGTCTTGATCATGGTAATTAAAAAGACGAAAGTGACGCCAGCTGCTTATTAAACAATAATTGTTGTTCATTTGAATTACCATTCTCCTTGGCCCTCCACCTGCTTTCTTACTGGTCTGGCCTACCTTCTTTCAGGCCCAGGCCTGGGAGTGCTTGCAAGATATAGTTGGGGTAAAATGTTGACTTTTGGTGGACACCACGGAGTCACATTGATGCAGATAAGGCACATGGCTGTGGCAGGATTCAGCTCCTCATCAATGTTCAGGTTAGTATGGCTGAGTCGATTATAGTTTGTAGACGTTTCCTAACTGCACACTTTGCTGGCAGTGGAGACTGGGATCTTTCTGCCATGAGAGACGTGGTGATGCGGTCCATTACTGTGGAGTACAGTGATGGTCGTGGTGGCAGTCATGGAGCCAGTGATAAAGAGAACCAGCAGCCGTGTAGTTTCGTGTTTAATTTACTCAAACGTTTGCTTGTTTGTTTTTTAGACAACCCCTCCTCAGACAGTTTTCTTGGCTCAGGCGATGCAAGGAATTTTTGCCAGGGTGCAAACGGCCAGTGGAGAAACTCCACTCCAGTACCAAGCTCAGCTTCACAGAAATCAAGAAACAGCCGGAGTCTTTACCTTGAAACCCGAAAGACCTTGAGGTGGGTGTTTGCCTAGTTCCTCGGCCCTTCTCAGATACTGGGGAAAGTGGCTGTAAGATAGTTGTTACACTGGTCTTTTAAACGAGTCGTACTACTTCTGGGTTTTAAACTATGGGGATATAAACAAAGCACTTTTCAGCTTCCAGTGTTTAAGTTGTATGATAAATTTCAGTGATAGCGGGATCCTACGATGAGAAGAGTTCTGAGGGAATCCTGGTGGGTGTGAGTGCAGAGTGAAAATCAGTGCAACTTGAGTGGCAGAGGAGCGCGCGTCTGATAGGTTTCAGTGCGCAGAGAACTGGTGCCGACCCGCGCGGCTGTCTCACACCTCAGTCAGCGCCCGCAGCTGCTTCTGGGAGAAGCGGGAGAGCACAGACCGCTCCATTCTGGTTGGTGAGCCCGCCTGTGCGCTCGCCAGACGTACAGTGATCACCAGAGGCAGGTGGACTTGGACTTAGAAAGTTTGGCTCAGGTATTTTATTAAAGTACTGTACTTTTTTAAAACAATGTTTATGATTTAAAATCTCTGCTAATGTGTTGAAGGAATGTGAGGTCGTTTTTTGTTTAGTCAAGCCCTTCTGCTGTTGATCAAAACTAGCATTACAGCTTCTTTACTTGATGTTATCAGCACCTGAGCTCTGGGAACACGTGTCACTGCTGTCAGGGATCATCTTCCCCACCTCCAGTATTCATACTATATAAGAACTAACACCCTGCTATTACAAAAGTCAGACACCAGTACAGCTAAAGGTCCCTTGGCCACTGCTCAGTTTCATTCCCCTCCTGTTAGTGTTTCCTTCCAAAATGCAAGCTTGTCTCTGTCACTCTCGTGTAGCATAAAAATGTATATGAAATCCTGGATGACTTTTGCCTTCATTAGAGATTTTCTGTATACTTTATTCAGCAAGTTGCTTTTTTTCTCAATACTATTTTTAAAAATAAAGTTACAGACAGTACATATGCTTAGTAAAAAGTTAGAAAATATAGATAAGCCCAAAAATAAAACAGAAGCATCACTCTCCCACCAGCCTGAAAGCAATGTTTTGGTATCTTAGTACATATCTTTGCAGATAATTTTCTATGCTTTTACATATATTATGTTTTTCAGAAGTGAGCTCATACAGTTTTAATGACATGACTTTTCTGTACAGAGTTCCATTTGTTGGACTTGAAGGTTGCTGCTTCATTATTTTGTGCTCTATTTCTTACATTTTTGTAACTACATTTTTGGCTGGAAGAGAAGATGACGCTGTGTTACATCACATTAGAAAGCGAACCTGCTGGGCGTGGTGGTGCACACCCATAATCCCAGTGCTCAGGAGGCTGAGGCAGGAGGCTCTCAACAAGTTCCAGGCCAGCCTGAACAACTGGAACAAGACCCTGGCTCAAAAAACAAAAACTAAACCAAGCAAAGCAAACAGTATCTTGTTCTGGTCTCTTGCCATTAGTGATGCCAGACTGACCTGCATTAGGGAGCTGACAGTCTGGCCCCTAATTGCACAGTCAAGGTTTTCCCCTTGCGACTAGAATTTAACCTGATTGGTGTTCCTTTGGCATCATGTGAATGAGCAATTTCACATCAGCCATCCACTGAACAGTTATTGACATCAGTTGATAACCCTTACCTGATAGTAATTTTATTAGAGTTAATGAAGTGATAATTTTGTCATTTCTTCCCTTTTTTTTTTTTCTGTGGTACCAGGGATCAAACTCAGGACCTTGCGCTTGCCAGGCAGGTGCTTATGCCACTGAGCTATATCCCCAGCCCCTCTTCCTTACTTTGTAATTGGCACTGTTATATTTTCATTAGTTGGGGCTATTTGGTTACCCTGAAGATACTACCTATGGGAAAGGCTGGGCAAATTAGACTTTTGATTTTGGAGACAGGGTCTCACTATATAGTTCAGGATGGCCTTGAACTTGCAGTGATGCTCCTCTCTCAGCCTTCCAAGTGCTGGGATTACAGATGTGCGCCACCAGGCCTAGCAAATTAGAATTTTTTAAAAAAATTTTTTTTTAATTGGAATTTTTTATTCCCAGTTTTCACAGTATTTTTAGTAGCCACTTACAGTTAGATGAATTTTTTTCTGTTGTCATTTGTGTATCATTAGGGATTCAGTGTGTTTTATTTCACCATAATTGTAATTCTTTTAATGCTCATGTTCTCAGAACTTTGGCCAGTGGGATTTCCTGCCAAACTTGCTTCAGTGTCTGCTTGACCCAACCTCATTAATTTTTTAATTTTAGAGTCCTTATTTTCTGGCATTGCAAAATATCCTATTTTTTTATATAAAAGATTTTTTACATTAAAAATACACAAATGCACACTCTAGGAAGTTCAAGTACAAAGGACATTGTGAAAAATCCTCAATATTTCTTCCAAACAATTATAGTAACCTAGATTGTTATCTTTTTTTAGCTATAGCTACTCAGCCTAAAAAATGTAAACTGTTTATCAAATTCTAAGTCTTTGCCCCTTTCCTCACTCAAAAAACTAGTAGAATTTGGAAACTTAGGGAGTATATATACATTGTAACTTTCTTTAAATTTAGTCAGCTCATTTGAACTCCGACGCAGGTAGTCATTTGAGGAGCTGACTTTGTGGGGCCTGGCTGAGTCAGCTGTTCAACTCTGTTCCACGCGCTCAGCAGGGAGCCACAGGGAGTCTGGTGGGAGAGAGCTGGGGCTGGGGGTGAGGATGAAGACGGTCACGTGGGGGCAAATCTTAAAACGCTTTAGCCTCGGCGATGGGCTTTTGAGTTCACAAAAATGTTTTCCTCGTTAAATAAGGCATTGGTAGTAGAAAGAAGTAAAAACGAAATTCTTGAGCAGAGAATACTGAGGCCCAAGGAGGGTTCATAAAGTGATATAGCCCAAGGGATTCCTTCTGAAAGTTTGTGGAAAGAAGGATGGGAGCCCTCTGTTGGCCTTGCAGGAAATTGTAAGATTCAGTTTAAAAGTTAATTGTGATGCTTGAGCTTTATCCACACACTGAAAGTGATTCCCTCTGAAGGGCGTGGGGACAGAGCTGGGGTAATAGAACAAAAAATTATACATAGCTATATAGATTTTTTTTTAACCATACCTGAAGCCAAGGTTTTCCAAAGAATTCTAGTCTCTTTGCTTTCCATCGTACTTCCATTATATGGTTCCGGACGAAAGGAAATTCTTTAATTGTAGATCCAAGAAATACGTCTTTAAGTTCTGCATTTGATAACCATCTGGTTTGGCAATTTGCCCAGCTTAGCACAAACTTTTAAGTGACAGAACCTGATACTAAAACCCCATGTATCTTATCTATATAATTGTATAATTAATAAAATATAAAAGTATAATTCTCCCACAAATGGCATACCTATCAATTTTTTATTTACTTTGTTATTTCTTGAAATGGACTTAACTGTTTTTATCTTTGTTACAAATTTTTTTTAGTGGATTATCAAACGCGTTTGCAGGAAAGTCAAACCATCACTGCCATATGTCTGCGTATGAGAAGTCCTTTCCTATTAAGCCAGTCGCAAGCCCATCTTGGAGTGGTTCTTGTCGTCGAAGCCTTTTAAGCCCTAAGAAAACTCCGCGACGACATGTTAGTACGGCAGAAGAGGTAAGAAAGCCTGCATCAGAAGCTACTGAAAGTTAGAAACTTTCCCCACGTTGAGCTGTTTGCTATCTCTGATACAGATGTTTATAATTATTCTGTTTACTTAATCCCTTCTGGCATTTTCTTTCTTCCTCTTTGAATCCTGTCATCTGTTCTAAAAAGAGTTAAAGAGCTGTTGTAGCAGGACTTCTTTTTCTTACAGTCTTCTGTTCCTGTTATATGGCTGTTTAACCTTGCTAAAGAGTTTTGTTGTCATAAAATTTGCTTTGCTAGAACACTTACCCTTCTCACTAGGAATAATGTTCCCAACTATTATAAAAGGAAAAATCAAGAATCAAAAAAAAAGTTTGTATCCTGTCATTATACGTAGGATCGTCTTCAAGGTCATAGACGTTTCCGAAAAGAGGGATGTTCCATTGAACTTGAGTTGTTGCGTTCATTCATTAAACGTAAGGGGGGAAAATATCTATTTTGAGGATATAATCTAGCATTTAATTTGCACAGTAGGAAATATGCTTATATCTGTTAACTTGCATGTTTAGCATGCATCTAATTACCTTTACTGTAGAGATACAAATGAATAACAGTGACCTTACACAGTTGTGTTTTTAGTGTGCTTTTTACATACATTATTGAATTCTTTTAACCTATGGAATAGGTAAAGGTGAGTTAATTTCCATAGTTTACAAATTTGGAATTTACCAGGTGGTCACACACCTGGTAAACGGCAGGCCTAAAACCCAGTTCTTAGGAGGAGATCTTGTCTAGTGTACCTTCTTTCACTTAGTACGGTTGCATGGCTCCTGCACATTGGGCTTGCTAAGCATGGAGTTAAGAGTACAGCATTGCATGCTAACTAGCATAATTTGGTAACCGAACATAGCTTAGGTGGCAAAACTTGATGTTAGTAAATGCTTAGCAAAAATGTGAATAGTTTCTTTAGTTTTGAGTTTGTTTTCAATCTAAAATATTTAAGTGAAGAGTAGCAGCACGAGTAAATCATTCAGTGGGACAAAATTAGAAAAGAAACAGCAACATTTGCTTTTGGTGATAGGCTCTCGGCAACAATGAAAAGATTTATTCTTTATTGTACCTATTATTCCTTTTGCACAATTGGATTTTGTCCCAGGTATACATTAGTATCACACACATTCCTAACGGTTTTCTTAATTGCTGGACTTGTGAGGTAAGGGGTACAGAAGATTGTGTGGGAAAGAGACTACAGCAGCAGCAGCATAGCAGCTGAGATAGGCTGCTTGGCTCTACCCTTCCGCATGTGACTGCCTGCAACTCTCCCTGTGGTAGGCTGGGGCAGAGGTTGAGCCTGGTTTGTTTTGGGAACGCCCTCCTCCCCCATATTGGTGGAGAGCGTTTCTGGGTGTGTCTTGGTGAGTCGTGGTGCAGTGGTCTGAGCTCTGTGTCTGGCCCTGGCCCCTCCGTTGTGGCTCTCTCCCTCTTCTGCCGCCTGCTGCCTTGGAACGAGCAGCTGTCCACTGCCATGGGGTTTCTGCTTTGGAGCCACCCGGCCGTGGGCTGAGTTCTCTGAAGCTGAAAGTAAACATCTCCTGCCTTAAACTGCAAGTGTCAGGTGTTTTGTCCCAGTGATGGGGAAGTAACTGATATGCACTGGGCTCTTTTATCTCCATGTGTTCATTGTAAACTGCCATTCTCTTACCAGCTGCTCCCTTGGACACCCAGTCCTGCTTTCCTTTCACCTCCATTGCTGCCTGAGGACTAGAGGGGACTGCATATTTTCATCCTTTCACCAACCCTCCCAGCCACAGGCTAGGTCAGTGGAGTACGTGGAGGTGGGGCTCCACTTCTGCAGGGCAAAGATGCTGAGCATTGACTTCAAGCTATGAAACGAAGTGCAAGAAATTGTGCCTTAGTTGATTTTTGGTCTGCATTTTCTTGCTGTGTAAAGCAAGCCATGTGTGTAACAGAATAACTTACATAAATAGGACAAAATGGTGGAACAAAGTTTATTATGAAACTTTATTCAACAGATTATTTAGATAATTTAACCTGTATATTATAGGTACTGCAGAAAATAATACTTTATTTTCCCTGGGGCTAGAGTATTTATTGATGGGAACTTCCAATCCCTTGTAATGTTGGCACCTCCAAGAGAAATAAACTTGCTATGTAATATCTAAGGAAGGTGGATGTTAATTTTAATCCTAGATTTGTTTATTAACTTCAGGAGTATGGAGCTATCTATAAAATTAACAATTAAGATAGTGCTATTACTGTACATTCAGTCTTACAATGGGTTTGAAAGAATTTGGAAATACTCAAGTGGTAGCTGGATAGAGTGGCTGGTGCAAAGGGCAGCACTGACCTATGCAATTCAGTAGGGTGACCTGGCCACAGGCATTATTTAAATAAAACGAAAAATTCAGTTTCTGCACTAGTCACAGTTTAAGTATTCATTACCTACATGTGGTTAATGCTTACCATATTGGACAGCACAAATACAGAGCATTTCCGGTATCCCAAGTCTCTGTTGGGTAGTGCTGTTACAGAAGATGTAAATTTCTGTTTGGAAATGAAGATATATTAATGACAATAAAATTATAAGCGGTAAAACAAAAGTAGTTTTTTGTTCGTTACATGTTGCTTGCAGACGTGCTTCTCTGGAACTTTACTAAACAACATTTAAAACACGATGGTTTAATTCTTGTTTTTCTTCAGAGCATTACAGTTTTGTCATAGACCAAGCATTTTGGACTTAACAGAAAAAGAGAAAATTACTGACTTGTATACTTGAAATTTATGTTATAAAGTCATTAAGCAAAAAGAAAGGGAGATTAGAAAGCTGTTTAAATAATTCATAAGTTTACCATTTGCTAACAATTCACTGAGAGTCCTCTTAAATTTTTATATCGTATAGGTTTATCATGGAGCTACTTACAGAGTATCACGAACTATATGTGTCTGTCCCAGGTTTCAGAAAGTGCGGGTTGATTGATTGATTGATGGTATTGGGATTAAACCCAGGGCCTTCACACTGAGCTACATCCCAGCCCATTTTAATTTTTTTTATTTTTTAGTTTGAGTCGTGGTTTCACCATGTCGTTAGATTGCCCAGGCGGGGCCCAGATTTGTAGTTTTCTTCCCTCATCCTCCCAGAGTACTGGCATTACAGCCTGGCTATAGATATTTTTCTAATTCTATTTTTTCTTAATAAAATTTAGCACCTTAGTTACTCTTATACTTTTTAGTTAAAAACTTTTCTTTGTACTTTATTAGGCTCTAAAATGTAACATTAAAAAACAACAGTGTAACATTAAACTGGGCACACGTGTGTAATCGCAGCATTCTTGGAGACTGCATCAGGAGAATGCAGACTTGAGCCCAGCCTGGGCAAGTTAGTGACTTAGATATATGATGGATGACAGATAGATAGATAGATAGATAGATAGATAGATAGATAGATAGATAGGAAGAAAGGCCGGGTGGGAATGTAGCTCAGTGTGAAGGTCTCAGACTGAATCCTTGGCACTGCAAAAAAAAGGAACATTAGCCATCTTCTGAAACTCTAGCATATCATCTAGTTACTGCTTCTTGTCTTGTTAATTTCCTAATTTAAGTTTGTTTAAAAAAGTTTAATAATCTGTAAGAAAGAAATTTTTTATTTTATAGTACCAGATGCTGTAAAACAGGATTATGTTTGAAGTTTCAAGAGACATAGCTTTTTTGAGCATTCTTTTGATAAAGCCAGTTGTTGTATATGTTCTTTAGAAAGTTTCCTAAACTACCTTTTCTTTGTCTGAAATGGTTCTAGATAGAATATAATGTATCAGTGTTTTTTGTTCCCATTTTTAAAAAAAGATAAAACCTAATGAGCGTGTAAAACAGACAGATTTGTTAACCTTTTAAAACCACAAATTAGTTTAAGCTGAAATTATGAGGCTTAATGAGCCTTGGGCAGTTATTTGATATGTGGAGAATTTATTCCTGTTTAGTGTATATTGTCCATGAATTGTGAGGTTGTTTGGATCAGAGAGAAACTTTTCTCTGCAGTGACGTTTATTGAGGAAATGATTTGTAGGGAGCTTTTGTGTGTGTTGCATTAGGCTTTTAATCAGATCTTTATATTAATCTAGATTTGCGTTAGCAGTTACTTTATGACCCATTTGTTTTTTGTGTTTTATTTATAAATTTATTCTTAAGGAAACCTGACTGTGAGGGAGAAGTGGTTTTTGGTTTTGGTTTTGGTCTTTTTGAGACAGGGTCTCCCCATGCAGTTCAGGCTGACCTTGAGCTCACTGGTGGCAGTCTTCCTGCCTCAGCTTCTAGAGTGCTGGGATTGTAGGCCTCATGAAGAAAAAAGTGCTTTTAGCTTTTGTGGTTGATGTCGTTAGGATAGAACCAAGAACTGATTCCACTTTGCTCAGTGTTCTCTTGAGGTCATTATGTGGTAGGAATAATAGTTCTTTGCTGCCAGCAGATGCTATGCATAGTACGGTAACCTGTCCCAGTAGGTTACATGCTTTACTTTCCTCTGTACGATATGATTATATAGTCAGAGCTTTTATTTTTTACCCACTGTGGTAGGACAATGGAAATATAATGTGTGTTTGGTTACGAGTTAATTTTCGTAGCACAGATAGTCTGATTTCCCTTCCCTTTCGTTTTACCACTTCTGGAAACAATGTATTGTTAACTGTAATGTGCATTAACTAGGTTATTTGGTATACTTAGAAAGTAAAGTCAACACTTTACTTGGGGAGAGCGGGATGCAAAACCTCTGGTCAGTAAAGTGCCAGGTGACACACCTTTCCTATCCGTAAAAGATCACTGTTGTTGGCCAGCACAGATTTCCTTCACAACTTAGTAGCCTATAGTGGTGTTTAGCCTGCTCTTTACTTAAAGAATCTTCACAGTGGCAATCTTAGATGTTAATGTAAAGGCATTTATTTTGTTTTGGGTACTAGGGAGGTTAAACCCAGGCTACTCTACATCCCCCCTGAGCTGTAGCCCATTACTTGTTACTTTGAAACAGAGTCCATGCTAAGTTGGCCAGACAGGACTCAGACTTGAGCTCCTCTTGCCTCGTCTTCCCTGTGTGCTAGGATTATAGGCATATGCCATGCACCCTGCTGAGATATTTTTAATTATGGCTTTTAAATTTATTTCTCAAATATCCTTTCCAGTAGAATAGCCAAAAACAGATTTGGTTATTGATACTAATTTATACGTGATAATTATCTTTTTCTAGCTATTATTTTTATGCTGTTGTTGAGTTACCTTCCCAATACTGTGAATAGCCTCTTCATAAACGTTAGAGAAGATCACCATCATTTTGGGTACAGTATTAATGTCTGAGAGATAAAATACTCCTTTTCCACATAGAACATAGCAAGTTTTTTTCTGTTAGGCCCATTATTCTAACAAGTGCTCAGCTAGTTCTTCCTTTTCTGTCACTCAGCTATTCAAATATGTGGATAGTTCCTTTTTAATAGGGAATTGTCATACCTAGTAGGTCACACACATTCTTGAAAATGAGTGACACTGTCCTGACAGTGTGATTCTAGTTTGCTGTGTAGCAGTAATAAAGATTCAAGAAGGAGAAGCTAGCCGGGCGTAGTGGCGCTGGGCTGTACCCCCGGCACTCTGGGAGGCTGAGTCACCAGGGTCACATGGTGGGGTCCAGCCTGGCAACCTAGTGAGACCTTGTCTTAGAGTCAAAAACAAAACAAAGCAAAAGGCTGAAGTGTAGCTCAGTGGGAGGGCCCTGGGTTCAATCCTTAGTACTCAAAAAGAAGAAAATTACTCTGTGAAGATGGTTGGTTGTATTAAATAGTATGTAAGATGTTACTTAATGAAGACAGACCATTGCTTCAAAGGATTTGTACAGAGTAGATGCCTTACCATGATTACAGATCCTTAGGTAAGGCGGTTCTCTACTGGGGGACCTCCTCTCCTTCTGCTGTTAGTCAGTGCACCCTCACCTTACCACTCACTGAACACATGAGGCATGTTCTTGTCTCAAGCTGTGCCTTGGCTGTTCCTCCATCTGGAATACTTACTTACTTTTAGGGTTTACTTCTTCCCTTTTGTTTAGATTTCTGCTGACACACACCTTTTTAGAGATACATGTACTTGTCTTTCCTCTGTCACTTTCTGTACCCTTCAGTATTCTTCATACCACTCAAGTAGTTTTTGTCATCCCTTTAACTGCAGTGTGAACTTCACAAAGATAAGAATTTTATTCAATGCATTATCGTTAATGCCTGGAATGCAGTAGATGTTCAAGTCAGTGAGTCAGTGTTACAGGGCATGTATTAGGATTTACAGAAGAAATTAATGTTGAAGAAGAAAACCATCTCTGAAAAATACCCACACTTAAGTAGAACAGGAAAACATTGTAGAGGTATCTCCCTCTCATTGACCTGGACTGTTCTGGCTGCTTCCTTGTGATCTTTCTAACAGGAAACAGGTCTCAAGGGTTCTGTTAGAATCTTAACTTAGAAGTCCTCAAATGTTTTATTTTTGGAACTCTATCATTTGACTTAAAAGGTGATTGCCTTTTGGTTTCATAGCCTATAGCTTCTCTGCACTATTCTTTATGTATATGTTTCATAATTTATAAAACATATTCTCTGGAGCTGGGTGTGGTGGTGCACACCTGTAATCCCAGCACTCAGGAGACTAAGGCAGGAGGATCACTGAGTTTGAGACCAGCCTGGGCTACACAGTGAGTCCAAGACCAGCCTAACCTGCTTAGCAAGACCCTGTCTCACAAAAAAAAAAAAAAAAGGAAAGAAAGAAACCATATTCTCTGGAATTTACTCCACTTCTCTTACACATACTTAATAATTACACTTACTAATTTTCTGGAATATCCTTGATACACTAAGGTTGTTAATTATCATTAGGACTCTGCTGAGCTTTGGTAGAGCTTCTGAGATCCCATCTAGTCCTACTTCATGAAATACTTGCCTTGTTGTATATGTTTAAGATCTTTTTTCCCCTCTTACAGACAGTTCAAGAAGAAGAAAGAGAGATCTACAGACAACTGCTACAGATGGTCACAGGGAAACAGTTCTCTGTGGCCAAACCTACCACACATTTTCCTTTACACCTGTGAGTCAGAGAAGTATCTTTCAGATGAATTAAATTTTACAATTTGCTATTTGATATTGAAATTATATCCTTCTCATGGTAGGTCTCGATGTCTTAGTTCCAGTAAGAATACTTTGAAAGACTCACTGTTTAAAAATGGAAACTCTTGTGCATCTCATATCATTGGCTCGGATACTTCATCGTCAGGATCGGCCAGCATTTTAACTACCCAAGAGCCCCTGCCCCATAGCGCATATTCTGTGTCGTCATGTGCTCCAGATGTTGCGTTTGGATCCAAAGATTATGATTCTTGCCATCAGTCCCAGCGTCACTATTCTCTTCCACATCAGCCGGATAATTTACCAGCGTCAAATACACAATCTGAAGGTAAAAATGAAAAATAACTATTTTTAATTCTAACAGCAAATTAACTGTTTATAAGTATTACAGGCAACACTGTAACATACATATAACTTAAATAATATGTCTGAAACTTTAAATACATATAATTCAGTTAACCATGCCATGAAGAAACTAAACGTATAAATAAGATCTTATTTCTGTTTTTTTTTTTTTTTTTTCATCTTTTGAGACAGGGTCTCGTTATGCAGTTCAGGCTGGCCTTGAGCTCACTTTGTAGCCCAGGCTGGTCTTGAACTCGCAACGATCCTCCTGCCTCAGCCTCCTAAGTGCTGGGATTACAAGCGTGTGCCACCACACCCAGCCAAGATCTTCTTTCTTTTTTAAAAGATATTCTTTTTTTTTTCCTATATCAAGATAACAGTTTTTTTCGTTTTTGGTAATACTTAGGATTGAACCCAGCATCTTTACACTGAGTGACATCCTCCAGCCCTTTTTATCTTATTTTTGGGACAAGTCTCCCTCAATTGCTAAGCTGGTTAGGCTAGGCCGGAACTCGTCATCCTGCTCCCTCAGCACCCCTGGCATGCACCACCATACCTGGCTAAGATGCAAGTGATGTGATAAAATACTTTATTTACATGAGTAACTTCCTGTACAGAGTTTAGATTCTGACTATATTCAGCCCAATTCAGTACTTTCTGCTTCTGTTCCTTTATAATGAAGTACTCTAAAGTTATAGAAGCTTTAAAAAATAAATACTGAAGTATAAGTACTATGTGATGCCTATTAAATCTGTATTGAAGGTTTTATGCATTTGGGAGTGATGGAGATGAAATTGTGGAAAGTGTTTTCTACCTAACTTTAATAAAAATATTCAGGCTCTTGGCACTGATGTTGTTTAAGGTTTTGCTATAATAGGTGTCCCATTTTTTTGGTATGCATTCTATATGTATTTAATGGTATATATTTAGGTATGTAAATTAAAATTAAAACAAGTTTTAGATTAAGTGATTAGACATGGGGATCTTTTGATAGATTGAGCACGAGTTCTTAAGGCTGTCCTCTTCCTCTGTTCATTTTTTTTAATCATCACTTTTTGAAAATTATCATTTGAAGATTAAAATTTCTGGTGGCATTACCAAGGTGGCGTCATTATAGCTACGCGTATCTGTAAGAACTTGTATTACATTTTATGAAGTGATTTGTCGGAAGCTGTCATTTTTTAAAAAGCCAAAACAACCCTTCAGCTTCAGGCAATACACTGTGGCAGATACTTAGCTACAAGTAGGCTGGAACGGGTCTACTGCGCCGCCCTGTTCCTTTGCCTGTATGATTTAAAGTTAAAGTACTTTCACTGAGGTTCTCATGGTAGCACTTTAGAAGGACCTGATTCTGCCTTTGGTGAGTATTCAACACAAAGAATACATGATAGAATGATAAAGTTGTACTGTTTAGACTCCTCCTGTAGTGCTGTTTCTCTGCCCCTTCCCTTCCCCTTTTTCTTTCCCTTTTTCTTTCCCTTCCTTCACTTAATTCAGTCTCATAGTATGTCATAAACCTAAGGCTCTCAGGAAATGCTGGTGTGTTCTTATTCTCCAGAAACAGAAAGAGGAGCACAGGGAGGGAGCACAGCCCAGGAGTAGGTGCTAAGGGGCAGATGTGCCTGTATTTCAGAGTGATTTCCTTATTTCTGAGGCAAGCTCTTCGCTAAGACTTACTCCTTGTCTCAGTGAAAATGGACCTACCTCTTTTTCTCTTCCATCTTATCTTTGTCCTTGTGATATATTATTTTTATGGAACTGGAATATAACAGAGTTTAGGAACTTAAGCTAAGACATCTGGAAAACATAACTGGGTAGAATTTTATTAATAATGAAATGCTCTTGTGTTTCTTTGTTTAGGATCAGACTCTGTGATTTTACTCAAAGTGAAAGATTCTCAGACTCCAGCTCCCAGGTAAACTTAGGAAAAAGGTCATTCTTAACATATTGTTTCCTTTTCTTTAATCACAGTTTCTTTCACTAAGAGTTACATGGTATAAAATTGCCTCAGTTCAAACCTCTCTCATGTACTATTTGAATTATTTCAGTGACTTTCTAACTGATCTTCTTCCCCGCCTTCATTTTGTTCATCCTTCCGTCCTCCACACACTGTGCTCTCTAACTCATTCTTCTGCCTGGTACTTCAGTCCATCTTCCATGCTGCAGACAAAATGATCTCAAAGTCATGTCTGATCATTCATCAAAGGGGTTTGATGGCTGTTTATTAAACTCCTTCAAGCACGGCTTGTCAGGATCGAATTACGCCCACGACTGCGTGGTGTGGTATGCAAAGCACTTCTTCCACAAGCCACACTTTCTGTTGCACACACTGAGCCTTTAGCTACCAAGTGTATATTGAGAGTGCCTCCGCATGGGGGGTACTGGCATCGGGCATCAGCATTTGGGGATAAAGGGAAGGAACAGAATGAACACTGCCCCCAAGGACCTGTAATTCATTCGGGGGGGTGGTAAGGGACAAGGAACAAGCAGACAAACACACCTGGTGGTTACCCATGCAAGGAGGAGAGGTAAAACAGGGCAGTGTATCGCTTAGGCTTGGGAGCACTATTTAGAGTAATCAGGGCACGTCTGCGAAAGTGCCAGTTGGGCAGGGACATGGTGAAAGTGAGAGAAAAGCCGTATACAGTAGAAATAGGAGGTCCCGTGTTGCTCTATTAGTTTGTAAATACGATGCATTTATTTTCGTACTCACATTCAGTGTTTCTTCTGCCTAGAAAGTCCTCTTTCCCTCAACTTGTCTGTCTGGCAGTAGTCTTATCTTTTTAAATCTCAATCCAGATGTAACCTATGTGAAACTTTCCTTCTCGTGGAGGTATCAAGTACTTCTTCCTGTGTAACTCCGTAGATCGCTGTGTGAATCACGGTGCCTTTGCTGTTTAGGGCCTTGGCAGTTCACTTCCTAGAATACCAGTATCAGTTTTGCATTGAGAAGATTAGAGACAGCTGAAGGTCCTTCTTTGTCTCCATTCCACTGCTGCTTTGCAGCTCTCCTAGGCTTTAGGTGTTCTTTAAAATTCTGTATTTGTTAACCTCCCTCAGGGAGACTCTACAGTTTGGATTCTTTATTTCTTATGTATGTATTCTTTGGAGTCAGGCCTGGATTCTGCTCTTGGCTTTTTTAAGCTTCATGTAACTTTGGAGATAGCACTCTTCTGAACCTCTGTTTACATGTCAGTAAAGTGCCAGTAGTATCACCTCACTGTTGAATTGTTATGAATAACTCACAGGTAAAATACTTAAAAAAGTGTCTTGGGGAGAAGTTGACCTCAGATAAAAAGAATACTCTCAGTGCTCTGCTTGTTCTCTAAATCTGCCTTTACCTAGGGGAAGATCTCGTAGTGATGGCTGGACGGTGAGTTGGGAAAAGCTCTGCTGAGTGAGTGTGGTCCCGTCATGCTGTGTGTGGAAGTTAGAGTCTCCTGTCCCAGGCCCTGGTTCATTCGTTCTCCATCTGTGCTTAACTCCCTGCAGTGAAGGTTTGCTGTTTTCTTCTTGGAGTATGACATGCTGTTTCTTACCTGTTCACTTTTGTATGTTCTGATCCTTATACTGAGAATTCCCTTTTTCTCCATGTTTACTTATAAACTCTTACTTTGCTCTTCAAAATCTGACCCAGTTATTTCTTCCTTGGGAGATTTCTGTCTTCTCCAGATAACAGTAGTCTTTACCTGTCCTTGTCTTTGTTACCACTGTGATTGCACTTACCACCCACTGCTCATCATAGTTCCTGGCATGTGATAGCTGCTTAATAAATAAATCCTTGTTGAATAGATGAATTTTTTTAGAAAGTCTAAAATGCTCTCTTAAGTGTTCCAAGTACTTATTTTTTGCCCTTCTTGTTTAATGTACTGGTCTGCTGAATGGTATTCTAACACGAGTAGAACACAGTCTTTGGTATTGAACAAGCCAGATTTCTAATCCTGGCTGTTCAAAGACAAATTATCCTGCCAAACTTCAATTTTCTCATCTATGTGAGTAAATAATTCCTTGCTGTATTATGTTGAGGATTAAATAATATGGGGATTATCATGAGGCTTAACTAATACATAAGACAGCAGAGTTGTACATACAAAGCACTAAGTAGGTGTACAAAAAACTTACAGTTATCATTAGTGTAGTTATTATCAGAAATAATGCATGATCTCTTCAGGAAGCAAATTTCCCCTCCACTGGGCTTTCTTAAACCAGCAGATACTTGGAGCTGTTGAAGAGAAAGTACTTGCCTCCTACATTATTCATTTATTCAACTAATGCTAAGTGCCTACTCCGTGGGATTATTTTAGTTGCAGAGGTTATAGTAGTTTACATAATAGGCAAAAGTTTCTGTCTTTATCAGATTTATACTTCCATAAAGGAAGTAGACATTTGAATAATACGATTCATTGTTTCAAAATTCTGGGCGCTTTTTGTCACATCTTTATATCACGTAATAAACGTCATCTCTCGTTCATTTGCTTTTGGTATTACACACTAAAGTCTTCACAGTGCTGTCACTGCCCTGTGGTTTTCTGTGCTCATCATTAGCCGGCGAGATAGGCCCCTGTGAACGCTAGTGACAGCGAAGAGGCAGTAGAATAGCACTTCCATCACCGGTTTGCAATCCAAGGAGAATTGCGAAGGCTGATTTTCCAAAGTTAGGCTCAGTAGCAAGGGCTGCCATGAGCCCTTGTTCTTGCCGTACTGGGAGAAATTACAGAGATTTAGGAACACAGAGTAATCTACCATATTCAACAGATCTTGAAACCAGGGCCCATAACAGTGAGATGATGTGCTCAAATTTTTAAGACTAGGTGGGGATAGGTCCAGGAGATTCAGGCCTCTTAACTCACAATTTGACACTATTTATTCTGTGTATCTAAGAGTTTCCTTTGGAAAAGTCTTGGCTCTTCCATTGGTTTCTGTGATCGGTCCCTTAAAGGTTTACAAGGAGACAAAGAAGTTGAGAAAAGTCGAGCTGTTGGGACAAGTAGCATGCCAGGGACTCACCCGGCGTTGCTCACTGGGTTGTCCGGAGGCCGGGTGAAAGGAGTTGACTTGCTGTTTTCCTGCTTTGGCTCATTAGTCGTTTGATAAGCGAATATTTTATGAGTAGGGAGTTTTGGTGTCTACTGTGATTTGGTTTTAGATGTTTTGAGTCAAGACTGACAAGAAGTCTAAGAATCCATAATTGGTTAAGTCACTAATAAGCACCAGCATGAACACTTCGGAAAGAGGGGTGTTCTAGCTCAGGGATGGTGAACCTACAGCACGCGTGCCGCAGTGGGCACACAGATCCCCCTCTGTCGGCACGTGAGCCAAACTGGCCCAGCTGCCGAGCGTCGGGTACGCAGGTTTATCTGCAGTGTTGGCACTTCGCGATAAGTAAGTGGGCTTGCGGGTGCAGTTCGGACGCCCGTCTCTCCAAAGTTCTCCATCACTGCTCCAGCTTAACATTGGCTGGCAAAGTGATACGCTTTTCCACATTGTATTCTTTCATGCAAGTAAGGAAGCTATGCTGAACTTAATTTTTCTGTTGTACTTTGGGGTATCTTTCCAGTGCATGCAGATAACTCATTTGTGTTGCTTCATTCTTGGTTACAGTTCGTCATTTAGGCAGCTTTATTTGTTGCCTCATTGCAAAGTGTTCTTAAAGACTATTTAATGAATATTTTTGTTGGTAAAAGTTTGTATTTCTCATAACCCTGCTCACTTTTCTTCTTCCACCCATAGTCCTGCTTTCTTCCAGGCAGAGCTGTGGATCAAAGAACTGTAAGTTACCTGTTTTTAGTACTATTTTTCCTTTGTAGTAATTTCATTGTGTCTTAGACAAAATGAAACAATTAACTGATCATCCTGATTACTTCTAGTTAATAAGAATTACCAATTTGTATTCTTAAGTTATTGGGTTTTTAACCACTTACCAGTCTAATTATTTAAATAGAAGGTGACCAAAAACTGCATTTTGGTTTAATTTTTATAAGATAACAGGAAATATAAAAATGACAAATTTTACCAAATTTATTCAGTACAAGAATTGACTGGTTGAAATGACAGCTGCCCAAACCGCTTGGGACAGTCAGTGCGTGAACAAACGTGCTGCCTGAGCGATGCTCGGGGTGAACTATGAAGTGATAAAACGGGGTGGTGCTGTTTCTGTGTTTATGTAACTCTGTAATTATTGTTGAAGCTAAATTGAATTGAAAAAATATTTCAAAGTTAGGTATTTATACAAAGGAAGATACATGTCCTTTACTTTGATATGGGTAAAACTAACTTACTGAGTAATTTTAGAGTTTGCAAAATCCCTGAAAGGATTTAGTTTCCAGTTCATGAACGTACTTTTAGTTTTCTAGATCCTGGGTCATTATGACTTTTTAAAAAATAAACCATCAAAAACACCATATTTTATTTAAAACCTCCATAGTATATTATTTTCTCTTTTGGAATATGATTCTGTTTTGGAATTTCCAGAATAAAGCTTTTTTTTCACCAAAATGTTAGAACCATGTTTAAAAAAAGACTATGTATTCATAGATGTCTACAAAACTCAACTGTTCACATTGAACAACATAATATATTTAAATATTTCAGTGAAAGTGTTGAGTAATAACTTCATTGTTTCAGTCTTACGTCTTAAAATAAATGCTGTGAGGTGTAACATACTAGTGCAAGGATTTTGGACTTTGTGTGTGAGGGTTCTGTGTTCAGTACTCACTGATGTTTGATGCTACAAGGGTGATCTGTATGTGTCACTTACAATTTTCTAGAACTAGTGTTTATGATTCTCGAGCACGGGAACGATTGCGCCAGATCGAGGAGCAGAAAGCACTGGCGTTACAGCTGCAAAATCAGGTAAAAAAAAAAGGAAGATAAAATTGTAAATGAATAGCACATTTAAGTTGAAACTGTTTGGGAAGGTTACCCGGATTTTGGTGATTGCTGTTGTGATTGCCAGATCATGTGATAGCATAGCTATTTTAATGTGAATGGTGTATGTTCTTGGTTAGCCCGGCCAGAGTGACTCAGTATACATACGTCAAATAGATTTCCGTATTTTATCCCACTTACTTTGAAGTTCTGTCTTCCAGAGATTACAGGAACAAGAATATTCAGTACATGATTCAGTAGAACTACATCTTCGTGTGCCTCTTGAGAAGGAGATCCCTGTCACAATTGCCCAAGAAACGGAAAAAAAAAGTCATAAGTTAACTGATAGTGAAGAGGAATTTCCTGAAATCACAGAGGTATTTTCTTCTACTAGCAACTATTATATTTATAAAGAATTCTTTGGACACTTTCACACATAAAGCAGTTGGATACCTGGTGTTTAAATTTTATTGAATATTTCTACTTTTGTTTGTACTGTATACCAGTTCTCACTTTTTTAAAAGGATTATTGAAAATTGATGAAACAAGTATGAGTGGCTTTTAGCAATTCAGCAAAAAAGCAAAAAGCGTTATATTTATTTCATTGCATTTTTACTTGATGTAGGCAGACTGTGTGTCTGTATGATTTTGTTTTGGGATTTTTCTTTGCATTTCTTTTTTTGTTTTGTTTTTGGCATTGGGGATCAAACCCAGGGCCTCACACAAAATATATGTGCTTCTACCACTGAACTACACCCCTAGTCCTACATGTGCAATAATTTAATATCGAAGTTTAAGCTATCACTGTTTCTTTTTGTTTTGTTTTTTTGTTCTTTTGGTTGTTGTTTTTTTTTGTCTTTTTGAGACAGGGTCTCACTATGCAGTTCACGCTGGTCTTGAACTCACTTTGTAGCCCAGGCTGGCCTTGAGCTCACAATGATCCACCTGCCTCAGCTTCTCAAGTGCTGGGATTACTGGGGTGCGCCACCATGCCCAGCTATCACTGTTTTTCTTAAGTAATGAAAACCTATAGTAGAAAGTTTTGAAAATACGTTAAAGACTATACATTTTTAAAATCTGCTCACTTATTTATACTTGTCTTTGAAAATCTTTTGGTACTGGGTATATAGCTACAGGGTAGAGTACTTACTTGCCTTACATGTGCGAGCCCCTGGGTTCAATCCCTAGCCATGCTAAATAAATAAATAAAATTTTAAAAACCTATCATGTACCTGGTGAGTATAATATTATAGTTGTACTAGATTCCATATTTTACATTTTTAAAGGTAAAATGCATACTTTTTCCAAAAAAATAGTGTCTAGACTTTTACTCTGTTACTACCTTTTGTGAAAGCTCCTGTTTCACAGCAAATTGTTTGGGTCAGAAATATAAAGGGAGACCTTTTCATAGGCTTAGGGATCTGATAGCACAGGCTACTGATAGCACATAGGGATCTGACAGCACAGGGCGAGTTCAAACTTTAGGAACTAATACGAAACAAAGATCAGAACGTTGTTCTGGAAAAGAGAAGGGAGGGGCAGATGGGATGGGAAGAAGTAACTGGGAAGATGGGGGGGGGAGATGGAGGCCAAAATGTTAGGTAGAAGTAACTGAACTAACAGCAGATTGATAAACAGTTACCTAGTAGTAAATACAGTCTGAGGGTTGGTGGGAAATCCCTTTTTTCTGAACTCGTGTGTTCTCTGGCACCTTGTGTTTTTGTAGGAGATGGAGAAAGAAATAAAGAACGTATTTCGTAATGGAAACCAAGATGAAGTTCTCAGTGAAGCATTCCGCTTGACCATTACACGCAAAGATATTCAAACTCTAAACCACCTGAATTGGCTCAATGATGAGGTAACCTTGCACTTATTTTTATATACAAATAGTATATAAACCTCAAGTAGACACTAAATCAAGGCATTGTTTCACTTTTTCTCAAAGTGTGGTCCTTAGACGACTTGCATGAATTTTCCTATGTAGTGGAGCTTAACATTTTTAGCAAACATCTTAGGTGATCTTTATGTACTTCAAAGGCTCAGAACATCTGATTTCTTGCGTTAAAGACTTGGAGAAGGAGACAGCACCGGCTCACGGGTGTACGTCGCTCTGTGTGAGGCACCCGCCCTGCGGACCCCATCCGAGCAGGTGTCTAACGGCTCTGCACTTGTATCACGAAGCAGTACTTCGGGGTTTCCGTAGTGGCACCCAGTTCTACGTCCCTTTCTACATCTACTTGTTTTAGTCACTTACACTGTAACGTTTTCTGAAACACCTTCCATTTATATATAGCTTTTAAACTAATATTGAAAAGTCATTGTTTACTTACTGTATTGAGGGGAAATTTACACCCCTTACCTTCCAATTTCAAGGAAGTATGCTAATAACAGTGATCTTTTTTTTTCTTTCACTTTTAATCAGATTTTATTGATACATTTTAGATATCATAGTGATCACATTCATCATAGAACATTTGTACCTGTACATGGTATAACGTGTTTCTTTTTTTTCCCATTCCCTACCCTCCCTTCAACCCCTCTTCCCCCCCATTTAAAAAAGCTTTGTTTCCATGTTTTCCTTGTTTTCTCATTTTTTTTTTACCTTTTCTTTCTTTCCTCTCCCTACTCCCCACTCTCATACCCTTCCCCATTTGAACATTTTCTTCTTACTTCACAATATCTGTTATACACTTTGGTCCAGAGAAACAGTGTGGTATTTGCATGTATGTCAGTTTATTTCCCTTAAGAGTATGGTGTCAAGGTGCATCCATTTACCTAAAAATGTCTTAAGCTTATCTTTCTTTATGGCAGAGTAGTACTCCATCGTGTAAAAAAAAACCAAACACATCTTTATCCATTCACCAGATGCACTATGATCTTTAAATTGATCCATCTTATTCCTTAACTTGTAGAAACCCTGTTTTATTTCAGAAAGTTGTTTTCATATAGAGGAAAACTTGGGTTGGGTGTTTTTTCCAAAACTACCTTCTTAGGCCTGCTAGGAATATCCCTGTCTGATCTTCTAGGTGAACTCAAGCTTCACCGCTCTGGAGGATTTTTAGAAAGTAATCACTTGATATTCTAGATATCCAGATCCTGTTCTTATATGCTTAAGACCTTCTAAATAATAATACTGGAACATCTGTTGAGCATTCGGCTCATGTTAGGCACTATTCTAAGTGTTTTATTTTTTTCATGTAAAAGTCACCATAGCTTTAGAAGTAGAGAGTATAGTTTTATCATCTCCATTCTATAGGTAAAGAAATAAGGCATCATAGAAAGATAAGAAACTTTCATAGGCTGGGATGGAGGTATACACCTGGAATCTCAGCATCCAAGAAGCTGAGGCAGAAGGAACATGAGCTCAAGGCCAGCTTGGGCTACATAGTGAGTTCAAGGCCAGCCTGGACCACCTACCTTGTCTCAAAAACAGAAGTTTGCAAGGTAACATAGTAGCAGAGCCAAGACTCAAACTGGGTCTTACCTAATGGAGTGTACTGCCTGAGAATCTTAAATCGGATCCTGTTTTAGACCAGTCGTGTAGAATTTAGAAGCCATATATCATGTGTAGGATCTTGATTTTCTCTGAACCAACTGGGCTAGCCCCATTGTCTCTGGCACTGGTCAGTTTAGAAGATAAATCTTTCAGAAACGCATCACTTCCTGAGTGCATGCTTTGGTTAAGAATGGTAAGGAATGTGTTTGAGACTGGGGGATGTTCCGGCTTGCTTCTCTTGCTTCCTCAGGTATTAGAACATTGAATCAGATACTGCTGAGCGAGGGAGTTCACCAGATCAAAGGGGAAGATGAAAATCAAGGGTAATCAGAAGTGTCCACTGATAAGTTGTTTTATCTGTGGTCTTCTGCCAGTTTTTGCCTGCCTCTGCTGGAAGGAAAGTCAGTTACTGGAAAAGGATTGTAGCCTGCTGTCAATTCTGCGAGACCTTCTAGAGGGCAGCAGCGAGGAGGGCGTGAGCTGAGTCCTTGCTCTGTGCTGTGGCAGGTTCCTCAGTGAGAGATCCCTTACAGAGGCAGCATTCAGCGTTCAGCACATACTTTCCATTCCCTGGGTCCCTCAGAGGCTGGGTTTTTAGCAAGCAAAGTTAATGGAAATTACATTATTTAGAGGAGGTGAAGGGAAGGAAAGATTCCTTGTCTGCTTTATCCCCACCACACCAACCTATAACTTGTGGGGAGTGGTTTTGTCTGAGTTCAGAATAATGTTAACCTTGAAAGTGAGACCCACTCATGTGTCCATGATGATGACAACTTTTTACAAACACATTTCTGAAGTATACTACTTCTCAGATTTTCATTTATTGCCCTTGAGAAGCCCACATTCTGATGAATTATTAGTAGATACCCTTAAATACTGATACTCATTTCAAAATACTTAACTCTTTTTCCATTGTGAATGTTTAGTTTTTTGCAAGTAATTTTTCCTTTTTTCTATTCTTTTCTTCCCTCAAATAGATATTTTTATTAATAACCACTTTTCTTTTTGATGTCCTGTAAATTTTATAGGGTGTATTAAATTTTTCTCCATAATAAAGTGAATGGTACGTTATTCTTCACCATTGACAAAGAATGTAATAGCCGGAAAATTAAAGGAATCATACATACTTTTTAAAGAAAATAAAATCCAGAAACCTTGTATATGGGATATGTATAGAAAACCACTAGGCTATTCGTCCTTTATCTGTTTCTTAAAATACATGCCAGGCATGGGGGTGCGTGCCTGTAATCCCAGCACTTGGGAGGCCAAGGCAGGAGGATCGTTGAGAGTTTGAGGCCAGCCTGGGCTACAAAGTGAGCTCAAGGCCAGCCTGAACTGCATAGCGAGACCCTATCTCAAAAACACACACAAAAAAGAAAATATACCTCAGTGCCTGTTCAAACAGTAGCTTTCAAAACTTCTTTATAAGTGGATTTATATATAGGTGAATTTGGTTAAATTCTATATAGTTTCAAAGCACTGAATGTTTTCCTCCCCATAAAGAAATTATACTTTTTAAAAGTGGAATGTGGGAACAGGCTACATTATAAAGAATACAAAAAGAGGTAGAAGATGGATGAAATCAGGGATATTGTGGATAGAAATTCCTGTACTGGTCAGGAGATTAGTTATTAATTTAAAAAACTTAATGAAGGGAAAGGGAGAATAGTATTAAACAGAAGAATTAGCTGCAAAAGCAGATTAAAAATCAGAGTTAAGAAACAAATATTTGCAAAACAAATGTCAGTGCTAGAAATGATTAATCCTTAGAGATGGATGACTTCTGGAATCCCTTCCAACTTCAAGATTTTGGGTTAACCGTGCTGAGACGCAGGCTGCTGTACGAGTGCCGCACGCTGACCGACGCAGCGCTGGGCCTCCAGGGAAGCAGGCTGCTGTGGGCTTCGTGTTTTTCCCTATGGCCAGGTGGCTTTGCGTATCTGGGAGCGTCATGATCATCTTGTTCTGTAGTTTAGAAATACTTGGAAATGATGTGGTGTACGTGTAAATTGAACTGACTCTTGCTTCTGGTCGTAATAGAGTAAAGGGGACAAGATTTAGCCTTTCAGCTTTGCCAGAAAACAAAACAAAACATATGAAACAGTTTTCAGATGCTCTGAACAGGCAGTATAGAACAGTGAGCTGTGAGAGAAGGGAAATAAAGAGGTATAATATGTAGCTTCCCTGGCTGACGGAAAGAGGGTATGTGGGTTATAAGACCAGGGCTGGCAGAGCCTGTGCCAGAGGGCTTCCCTCAAAGTCTCTGGCTGAATACAGAGCTTTGTAGTTGTGAAACAAGGTACGAGAGGCTAGGGAAAGAACTTCCAGAAAGTAGTGAGAACAGTATCAGTGCCAACCTAAATGCCAAGAATAGTTCACTTTCCAATCAGTTATAATGGAAGAACTTCCTAAGTCCAAGGGCATACAGAGACTTCTTGCAAGAGAATTGCCCCAAAGTGAGGACAGACGGCCCCTACAATAAAGGCTACTTTGGACCCAGACTAACAAAGCCTAAAAACAAATCTCAAAAGCTTAAAAAATGATCCAGATATAACTGTGTCACAGAGAAAAGCCCCACAGTATTTAAAGAAATACAACAAATACTAGAACCTGCATAAAAGTGACAGTATCCAGTATCTATCAAATAGGATGTTAGGCACTATGCAGTTAATATATTTTAATAATTTTTTTAATTACCAGGCATACAAAGAAGAAGGAAAGTACAATTTATGACAGGGGAAAGACTAGTCACTAAAAATACCCAGAAATGAACAAAACGATAAAATTAACAAAGATGTTAAAACAAGCCAGGCATGTTGGTGCATGCCTGTAATACCAGCACTTGGGAGGCTGAGGCAGGAGAATTGCCAAGAGTTCAAGGCCAGCCTGGGCTACATAGTGAGTTCAAAGCCAGCCAGAACTGCATAACGAGATCCAAGCAAAAAGTTAAAATAGACATTTTAAATATATTACATATTTTAGGAAGGTAGAGAAAAATAGACATCATGAGGAGGAAAATGGAATGTATATGAAAAGATCCAGATTGAACTTCTGTATTTTAAAATTTTAGCTCATTAGTACACGTGTAGTATGTAACGTTTACATTTCTTGCGGGAGGTTGGACTTGTATATTTGAAATAAAATGTACATAATATAGATCTAACAGATTAGACCTTGGAGAACAGTTTGGAAAAATGTGTGAACTTGAAGCTCAGCAATAGAAACCATCAAAAATGAAGCACAGACAGAAGGTTGAAGGAAGACAAGTGAGCCGGGGGAGGCAGTCTGGCATGTAACTGGAGTCTCGGAGGGGAAGGTAGGGCCTAGATGATGTCAGAAAAAGTGTTTGAAAAATTAATGGT